CTCCACCGGCTCCACCACGAAGCGCAGCCGGCCGTCCGCAAGCCTCTCCAGCCGCTGCAGCCAGGAGCGGAAGTGGTCGTAGGCTTCACACGTGACGTCCAGGTGTCTGAGCGTGAAGTTCAGCCTCTTCTCCACAGACAGAATGGCCGTGCAGGCGTTTTTCAGTTTGTGAACGAGGCGGGACAGCGTTTTAAACAGAGCGTCGGTTAGGTCATCATCGTAAAACACTTCGGCTGCGAGCAGGATGGTGGTGTGCCTGTAGAGGTCGGAGACGTCCTCCTGCGACCCGCTGAAGGGGACCTCCGGGTCTGTGCACAGGTCGTCTTTGAGCCAGTCCAGTTCTTTGACCTTAACTACACCACCTCCAGCAGCAGTCAGGTGGCCGTTGAGGGCAATGTTTCTCTGGCACATGGCCAAGAGATCTGTACCGACATCTGTGCAGTAAACGGTACGTGCCACGGTGGCTGCCATAATGCTGGCCAGCCCCGTGCCCGCCCCGAGCTCCAGCACGGTGCGTCCCTGGAAGAGGTCCCGTTGGAACAGGATGTAGTCAGCCAGGAGCAGGGCGCCCCGCCACACCTTGTCTCTCGGAGGCCCCACTGGCTCAGGGTCCGAAGCTGCCCGTGGTCTCCTCTCAACGTCCAAATCTCCGTCCTCGTCCAGCCGAGCTCCCACCCCCTCCTGGATGGTGGCGTCACTCCTGCAGCCACTCCCCAGAGGGGGTCTGGCACTGCCCGGCCCAGAGGGAGGCATTTCCTCTGTGGGGCCCATGGCATGACGGCCACCGTCAACCCCTGAGTCTGTCTGAGAGTCTCGGTTCCACAGAAGCTTGAGCTGGGACAGGAAAACGGGCTGCCCCATGCCATTCAGCCGCACCATGAGGTGCCTGTGGTTCGGGGTGTAGAGGTGGACATCTGAGAGCACAGTGTCACTTTTGAAGGTGACCTCATCCATAGCTGGGGTGGGGACCAGCCACCATGGCCAGGTTCCTCGTGAATCATGGGACAGCAGCACCTGCCGCGGGCTGCAGGATAGAGCCCGGCCGAGCCCTCTGGCCGCCGGTCTCAGGCGGCCGCCATAGTCAATCATTTTTTTTTCTTAATGAGGTCTGAGTTTTTATGTATTTGCTTTTTATTTATATATCTCTCACTGTGTTTATATTATCTATTAAATATAGTATTCCCAGCTAATGTGAGTTGTAAATACACCTTATGTTTCCAATAAATTATTTTATCATGAAGAAATTTAAATTAGCCAATCTAAAATTTTCTTTCTATTTCTTGGAATAATTCCACCGAAGACGCTCTGAATCTCCAACTTTCCAGCAAGATAAATCTAGTATCTATCCTCTTAAAATATCCCTCTTGAAAAGTGTTTGTATTTAGGTGCCTGCATTTTATGATGGTACATAATTTTATATTTTGTGAATTTAAATATTGGGGTAAATATCCACCAGAATTCCTACTCCTCCCACATAATGTATTTTCTGCCACAGATGCAGCTAAAGTCTAATAAAAGGTATCACAGTGTAAGGTCTTGATATCTTCAAGTGATTATTTAGGGGGGGATAATCCTTAGAAAAAAATTAATTCAAGTTATTTTACAGATTAGAAGATCCTTTGGTTTTGGAGTGATAAGAAATGTAAAATTATCAGAAAATAATTATTAGAACATATATTATATATATATAAAAAATTAAGCCCTCATATCCATCCATCCAAAATTTTTAAAAATCCACAAAATGGAAAGAATTTTATACTAAAAACCCATATACCTACAGGTTTACTTTAAGAGCATATAAAGATGCATTGATAAATGAATAAATGGATAGATAGATGATAAAACAAGTATAATAAATACTAATTACAGAATCTAGTTGTGATTACGTACAGCATAGGAAATATAGTCAGTGATATTGTAATAATATGTGGCAAAGGGTAGTGATTACATTTACTGTGGTGAGAATTGGTAATATATAGAATTCTCAAATCAGTATGTAGTATATACCTGAAACTAATATAAAATTGTATGGAAACTAAACTTCAATAATAAATAAAAAATAAAGCTACAGGCAATAGTAAATTTCCACTAAAATATGTCTGCATGCATATATCATTAACTAGTGTTGTACATTTGTTTAAGATTCCTTTTCTTGAGGTAAAGTTTATATACAATGAAATATTTAAATCTTAAGTGTATAATTTGAAAAGTTCTGGAAAAATGCATATACCTGCACAACATCAGTATCTATGAAGATACAGAAACTTACCCCCAGGGATCCCTCACACCCCTTTTCATTAAATTCCTGCCTTTAGCTCCCAAAGACAACCTGTTTAGATTTTTTTCAACCATTTTAATTTTGTCTATTCTAGAAATACATATAAATGGAATCATATGAAATATAAAATATTCTGTAAGCTGGTATTTAGCACAATATTTTTGAGAGTTGTCTATGTTTTCTTCACACCTTGTACTTGATTAGTAGTATTGCATTGTATACCAAAGTCCTTTAACTACTTACTATTTGGTAGGCATTTGGGTTCTTTCCAGTTTGGGTTATTAAATATAAAGTTGTTATAGAAGTTGCTCAAGTTTTTTTTTTTTTTTTGAGATTTATTTATTTTTATTTGAGAGAGAGAGTGGGGAGGGGCAGAGGGAGAAGAAGAGAGAATTTCGAGCAGAATCCCTGCTGAGCTTGGAGCCCAGTGCAGGGCTCAGTCTCATGACCCAGAGATCATGACCTGAGCTGAAATTAAGAATAAAATGCTCAACTGACTGGGCCACCCAGGCACCCCTTGTTCAAGTATTTTTGGTCATCTTGTAAAATTACATTTGTATTGAAGTTTTATAAATATCTAGGAGTGTTTTATAAAAACCTATCAGAAATTTACCAAAGTTATTGTATAATTTCTCATCTTATATATGATGTATAAGGATTTTAGTTGCCACAATATTGATATATGGTTATCTAAATTTAAATTGAAATTACATAACGTTTAGTTCTGCAATAATACTAAACATTTTTCAAGTGCTGAGTGGCCACATGTGGCTAGTGACTACTCTGTTAGGAAGTATGTACATACGTATTTTCATCATTATAGAAAGCACTCTTGAGCAACACCATTCCATATACTTGTCAACATTTGGTATTGTAATGTTTTACTACAAGTTGTTGTAGTGTATATGTAATAGCATTTCATTGTAGTTGTCATCTTCTGTTCCCTGATGAGATAATATTGAATACATTTTCATGTGATTTTGGCAATTATGTAACTTCCTCTGTGAGGTTTTTTGTTCAGTTCCTTCAATTCCTCTCTTTCTATTGGATGGTTTAATTTTTCATTATCGAATTGAGTTCTTTTTATATCCCAGACACAATTCTTTTGGTAGATATATGTACTGTCAATATTTCCTCTTGTTCTATGTGGTATCTTTATTAATTTTATTAATATCTTAATAAACAATTTAAAATTTTGATTAAATGTAATGAAATGTTATAAAATTTTGTTGTTATTGCTTTCTAAAACTTACTAAAGAAAATGATGCCTGTCACAAAGACATTTATCAAATTTTTTCTAGAAGCTTTATAGTTTCAACTTTCATGATTTAGGCTAATGTATCTCAAATTGTTGTGTGTGTGTGTATGGTATGAAACATACAGCAAGTTTATTTTTGTACATATACATACTCAGTTTTTCCAGTATCATTAGTTGAAATATTTTCTTTGCTCATAGATTTGCCATTGGATCCATTAAAATATATATACAAAAAAACCCACAAAAAACTGTTGTGAATGACCCTATATTTGGGCTCTATATTCTCTCTCATCTTTCCAACTTTATTTTGTGAAATACTTTGTAGGTATCTATTTTGATGAGCATATTTCCTCTTCATTCATTAATATAGTGAATTTTATTAATTGATTTTTGAATGATAAACCAATCTCACATTACTGGTTTCTACATCGCTTGGCTATAATATATTACCATGTATATATTGATGCATTTGATTTGCTTATATTTGATCAAGAAATCTATTTTAAATAAGGGTATTAGACTTTAATTTTCCATTCCTTTCTTTTTTTCATTTTATTATGTTATGTTAATCACCATACATTACATCATTAGTTTTTGATGTAGTATTCCCTGATTCATTGTTTGCATATAACACCCAGTGCTCCATTCAATAGGTGCCCTCTTTAATACCCATCACCAGGCTACCCATTCCCCCATACCCTTCCCCTCTAGAACTGTCAGTTTGTTTCTCAGAGTCCATAGTCTTTCATGGTTTGTCTCCCCCTCCGATTTCCCCCATTTCATTTTTCCTTTCCTACTAGCTTCTTTTTTTTTTAACATATAATATATTATTTGTTTCAGAGGTACAGGTCTATGAGTCAATAGTCTTAAATAATTCACAGCACTTACCATAGCACATACGCTCCCCAATATCTATCACCCAGCCACCCCATCCCTCCTACCCCCCAACACTCCAGCAAACATCAGTTTGTTTCTGAGATTAAGAATTCCTCATATCAGTGAGATCATATGATACATGTCTTTCTCTGATTGACTTATTTCGCTCAGCATAATACCCTCCAGTTCC